CACCTTAACATTATTCCTTCAAAACTACAACTAAAAATCAGAAAAATGGTTGACATAGATGGCTTTCATAGCATCTGTTATGGGAACCTTTGTTTCCCAGAAAAATTAGGCCAGGACAAAAGCCATTCAGATAGCTGATTTTGCCTTAGTATACCTAATATTATTGTAGCTTTAACGTGTGAGGGCCAACTAAGTAACTATTTAAGACAACATGTTTTGATTTAAGTTTTGACAAGGAGCATGATGGAAATTCAGCAATAACTCATATGCTGTAAAATCCTGTGAAGAATCATGAATGATATCATGGTAATTTTTTTCACGCTTGCTAAACTAGTGATGTTTAACTGACTCATTTACTATGATACGTAGTTGTGGGCCCAGCTGTGAGTCACGAAGATTTGTCATGTAGCTCCCAGTATCCTGCCTGCTGAGTTTGATCAATGACCTGGAATGCAGTATGGAAGCAAGTGCCTGAAGCATGTGTTACACTGACACAGCAGCAGGGCACCGTCAAAACCCTTCCTGATACTGACAATTTTTAACGGATGAGTAAGCAGTAGCAGAACAGTTTTGATACACCAATTACAATTTTTTCTTTTTAGTTTGTATATCATCTTGGCACAGGAAGCTACTTGCCTTTAGGAGCAGATTTTGGTAAATAGCTGTTCCATTTAAGAGTTCTGAGAAGAACATATCCCTTAACTCTCCCTCTTTATATAAACACTTATTCCCCAGTACATTTCAGTAATTCCATAGATTTTAGAATGCATCTAATTTTTGGAAGAAACAGCAAACTGAAATCTATTATAGTATGGACGTTATTCTGAGACCAAAAGAGTGAATTTAGAAATATGGTTGAGTCGTTTGATGTCCTTTTAGAACATTCAAGGATTATATAGTTTCAGAAAATCTAAATACAGGAAATGTTCAGTTAAAGTTTCAATACCAACTTTAATTCTGCCTGTATCCTCACCGAACTTCAAGTTAGAGACACTGACCAAGTACCACATAAAACTAAGAACATGAACTCCAGAAGTATATTTTAGTTGTCTAATATAACTTACATACCCTTGAGCCCAGTATCAGGTACAAAGGGCTAGTGGGGACAATGTCATGGCAGATAAAGGGTAAGATACTTGTAACTTCTGTCCTGAGCCCATAATTGTCATCAGACTCTGCACAGCTGATTGCTGATAGTCAGCTGCTGATACAACATTTATGACCCAGGCTGAGTGGGCAAGGGAACAGGAGATGCACTGGATATATCTTAATGCCCTCAGATTACAGTTTATGACATGTTAACTGACCTAAGGGAAGGAGGGCAAGTGGAAGCTGGCAGATGCATGTTGCCTGAGGTGCAAAGAGGCTGTCATGCTAGGCCTACCACACTAATCCCTCCATGGAGAAGAGAGCTGAAGTAAAGTCCCTACCTGACTGTATGCAGTATTCGGGGGTTTATAGCCAGCATGACTAGAATGGACTGGTTAGAAGACTTCTCTAGATCAGCAGTGAGGCTGATACACTTTGGTTTCTGGCCAATATTACAATATCATCAAGGCAGACAGAGGTCTCGTTTGTACTAAAAAAAAAAGAGTTACCATATATACTCATTCGTAAGCCGAATATTTCTGATAAAAAAGTGACGACGCATCAATGGCTTATAAACGGGTCTACACCAAAATTTGATGATTTTAAAAACTCTATGGAGTCATTGAATTGAATATCTAATACATTGTCCTTTTGTTTACATGGAGCCCCTCAGCTCCCTGTGGCTGCGGTTCGCTGTTCCCAGCCACCGGGAGCTGCGGGAACGGCAAACCGTGGCCACAGAGAGCTGAGGGGCTCCATGCCTGCAGAAGCTCCAAGTAAACAAAATGTCCCGACCTGCCAGCAGCTTACCCGGATGGGCCAGGAGCCAAAGTTTGCCAACCCCTGAAATATAGGGTTGGCTTCTGAAAGGGTCATACAATTTTTGCTATTTTTACCCAACATCTTGAGGGGGGGGGGGAAGGGAGGTTCGGCTTATAAACGAACAGGCTAATGGACGAGTATATATGGTAATTAATGCAACTAACTCAATTTAAAATCAATGTATCTAAGGAAGGCTTAAGCATGTGTAAATGCATCTATACTAGGAGTTTAAATCAATGTAATTAAATCTATTTAAAACTGATCTAGTTAGAGCAATGCAATTTTTCTAATATAACCAAGCCCAGAGTTCTCTATCGCAGTCTGAGATGCTGTTTGTCTCTACCCCTCAAGTATGGTCTAGAAGCAGGATGGTAGAATAAAGGAGAGCAGAACTTCTAGCCTGTATGTTGGGAGTGATTAACTTATTAGTATATAGAATATGAATAGGGAAGTAGTAAATTGTGACTTACAGAAATACATATGGATTAGGTGAAGGTATTTAATTTACAGGTGGCAGGGAGTATCAGATTACAAATGCAGGTAATGTGCAGTTAATAGATGAAGGTTTTTAATTTTTTTGTAGCTAATATTCTGTTACTATTTTAAAAGGACAATATTCTCAAACTTAGGTTCTTGTTTTCCCTAGGAGTTTTCTTTTTAAAATGCAAAAAACACCCTCCCCCCCATATGCTCATTTAAGTCAAATACAGCTGAAATGACTTTGCTCACAACTTTAGTGAAACTTTTAACAAAAGTTAAAAGGTCTGATGGCCGGGACTTTAATTTCTGTGTAGCGCTTGGGCTATAAACTTGTATCCGCCAAAAGCAGATCCATTTCACAGGCCACGGGGAAGTATTAAGCCTCTCCAACACAACTTCTGTTGCTTGTAACCTTGGAAAGCCCTCCACATTTCAAGCCTTAGGTATGTCTACACTTACACTGCTATAGCACTTAGTGAAGACACTACCTACAACAATGGAAGAGCGTCTCCCATTGGTGTACGTACTCGACTTCCCCAAGAAGCAGTAGCTATGCTGACAGGAGAAACCCTCCCGCTGACATAGCATTGTCTACATGGGTGGTGAGGTTGGTATAATTATGTTGCCTAGGGGAGTAGATTTTCCACATCCCTGAGTGACAGTTATACCAACATAAGTTTGTAGTATAGACCAGGGCTTAGAAAGGCCACCATTATAGACTGTGAAGCTCACGAGGATTCGGTTACAAATGCTGCTGGCCTGGTGCTCAAAATTTTTAAGCTTTCTGGGAGTAGGCAGTGGTGGTACCTATCAGTACGGAAGCGGGGGGGCGCAAAAGAGCAACCCCCATGTCTGGGCAACATGTCTCAGTGAAGCCCGCTTTTCAGTGTGCAAGAAGATAGAGGAAGCATTCCAGTACTGTGGCAGCAACTAATGGACAGAGAAAGCAGGGATCTGAGGGGACTGAATGAGGAGATGGGGGAAAAGATTCCATTATTTGTCCTCAGTAACTGGGAAAGGAGATGAAAGATCCCAGTAGCAAGATCTTTAGGTAAGAACGCTGGCAGCTGACAGATTTTCCTAAAAGCACCACTTTTAAATAACCACGGTAACTTCAAGTCTAGTGGTCAGTTTAGATTTTGAAGGGTACCTTTGCAACGAAAAGACAGAAGGAAAGAAGGAAGGAAAGGAAGATCCATTTCAATGAGCATCAGACCTCATGGAAGTTAACATAAAGATTAAACTTCACCTTTGTAAAACAGACAAAATACCCCCCCCCCCCTTGTTTTTAGTTCTTACTGAAGCCTAATAGGTAAAAGGGTCAATTTTATAAAGCTTATAATGGAAGTAGTCTTACAAGGGAGTTATTAATATGACTTCATCATAACACTGCTCTGAAAAGCCCACATCTCCAAGAAACAAGATAACACTCAGGCAACTAAACTATCTGCAGGATATTCAATACTTAAAGCTTCAAATTTTGCAAGAACATCACACTTCAAAAACCAAAACCCACTACACCATTATATTACCTTTATTTCTAGAACATACCATCCCCTGTAGTTCAGTAACATTTCAGGATAAAAATGCTGCTCTGCAGCTCAATCTAGGACCACCTGCTGACACATGTAACATTTATACTTTGCAATGCATCACCCCTCCCTGTTTAACTTTTTAAAACATGCTTGTATCATAAAATCATAGGACTGGAAGGAACCTCTAGAGGTCTTCTACTCCAGTCCCCTGCACTCAAGACAGGACTAAGTATTATCTAGATCATCTCTGACAGGTGTTGTCTAACCTGTTCTTAAAAATCTCCAATGACAGAGATTCCACAACATCCCTAGGCAATTTATTCCAGTGCTTAACTAACCTGACAGTTAGGAAGTTTTTCCTAATGTCCAACCTAAACCACCCTTGCTGGAATTTAAGCCCATAATCACAATTTTTGACTACATTTGATAGTTCCATGTCTCAATTATCCTCTGCATAAGGCATGTTTTAGAACTCATGTGATCATGGACCCTTTCATAGCTTCCAGCTTATGTCCTTCAGCTTAAACCCTGTTAAATATGTACGTACATATTCTGTAAGTGGGATGTAATATCACATTAAACAATTCACACAACTATAGTTAACACTGAAAGTTTGGAAGACAATTTTAGGCACGTGCTTAAATGCAGCCTAGTTTCAACAGCAGGAGTTACCAATAGCAATATTAGGTAAATAGAAATATGTTAGTGTATTGTACAAGGTATAAATATGATTTTTCAGTTACTATTTTAATCCTCTGAAGACAGGGGCTGAGATTTCTGACACAGTTTATAGCAAAATACATTAGGCATAATAATAGCTGACCTGAAATCAAGGGTTTAACGTTCAGCTATGGTTTCACATAAAGATTCGGATATTTCTATTTATGATATTTTTAGCGTTCCATTGCACACTCAACTAAAATTAGAGCTAGCAATATCAAGAACCAAGGTTTCAATATACTTACCTGTGAAAAGAAAGAAGATCAAAACCATTATCATGGTGTAACCAAAGTACAAAATGGTGCTTGCTGTCCCTGTGATTTGCAGTTTAGAAAAGAAATAGTGTATTGCATATATCAGAAAATAAACTGCAGTAAAACCACTGGTAAGGAAGGAACGCCACTGCCAGTGATAATCCTAGAAGAAAAGAAAAACCTAAGTAATATTTCCTGAAACCTGAACTCGACCAATTACTAGATGCAAAATTACAAGTGAAATTTTCCTACTGGGTATTTAACATTAAACAGCTAAAGATAAAATTTTATTACTTTGGATCACTTAATCACAGTTCATAATATGAATCAGAAAGTCAACGATCTACATCAAAAAGGCAAAAATCTACAAGCCCAAGTAAAAAGAGCCAGATTTTTAAGGGTGCATGCAAATATTAACTTGTACCAGTCAAGCACATGCACCAAAAAGGAAATACTTTTGACAAAGCAAAGGCTTCTGTCTAGTCAACTGACTTATACCGAAAATAGTGAGATGGATAACTGAAGATGAGCTATATCTCACTGGTACTGAATCTGGGTACAAACTTGTTCAAAATAATATCTGTAATGAGAACTCTTATCAGAAAGGAGCAATGAGTGTCCAATCACATTTTAAGCTGATCTTAATAGGATCTTAGTTATCCTAGTAGTGTTAAATTCTGGAATGATAATATTTCCAGTTATAGAAGTTGGATTTTGTGAAAGTGTCCTGGATATTGTATAAAGTGTGACTAGTGAAGAATATTTCTTACCTCTGCACACAGATGGAAATAGCAAAGCAGTATAGTGGCCTCAGAACATGTAATGACCAAAATAATGAACACAAGAAACAGGAAGCCAAACATATAATACATCTGATGGGACCTACAATCAAAACAGAGGATTAAAATAAGATAAAATGTATTTTGGAGGAAAATGGCATCTCTCAATATGAAAAAGCAGCATTAGCACAAGATGATCATTTTTAGTATAGTCTGAAGCTTAAACAATATTTTCTCCTTATCACAAGGGTAGGGTGTCATTGGTGCGGACACAAGTGGAAGTTAACTTGTGCTTTGTTTTTCAAACTGGGAATGCATGATTCAGCAGCTCTACTCTAAAATGGCAAGCAAAAGCTCAAAACCTAAAACTTCTCTCACATTTGGAGGTTTATGAAGAGAGAGAAACTGAACTGGATACATCACCAGTGAAATCCTGGCTCCACTGAAGTCCATTGAATGGCAAAGCTTCCACTGACTTCAGTAGAGCCAGGTTTTCACTCCACATTTCAATCAAAGTGGCAGAGTGGTAAAACAGAAAAAGTGTCAATACTTTAGATTTGTGTATTAGCACCGACTTCTGAGTGAAACAGCTTAGAGAGATTGGATAACTAGATTGTGCCAGAAAGAGGACAGATTTCTCATACAAGAGCAGTTTGTTAGCATGCTCAGAGTACACATCTGAATTCACTGACGCTGTACGAGTATTTAGTGGGTTATTTTGAATGGTTAAAGGAATTATTTCCTAATGCCTATATGAAGATTTGGGGAAAGGAAAAATCTGTTTTCCTGAAGCAATAATTCTGTTCTATAAAGACTAAATTAATAAATCCAATGTAATATACTGTTCACTTCTTTCAAATATCTACCATAATGTCAGTTTCAGAGGCACTTCTGTGTGAAGTAATAGGTGTAGTGCAGTGGTTCTCAAACTTTTGTACTGGTGACCCCTTTCACATAGAAAGCCTCTGAGTGCGACCCCCCCTTATAAATTAAAAACACTTTTTTCATATATTTACCACCATTATAAACGCTGGATGCAAAGTGAGGTTTGGGGTGCAGACTGACAGCTCGCGACCCCCCCAT